TGTGTGTGTGTGTGTGTGTGCAATTTAATTAGTTATTTATTTTTTTGAGGAGAGTGATGTTACATATGAGAGATGAAGCCAGGGAAGACAGTGGGAACTAGCTTGTGAAGGGCCTTGAGAACCATGTTAAGGAGCCTAAACTTTGTCCCAGGGCACTGGGGAGCCATGGAGGGCTTTTGAGCAGAGGAGTAACAGGATCAGAATTTTAGAAAGAACTTGCCCCAAGATGGGTTGGAGGTGTCTGGAGGCTGAGAGACCAGTGAGGAGCTGGGAGTGGGGGTCTAGGAGGCTGGGAGTGGCCTGTGGGCGTGGCTGGGATCCACCCGCACGGTGGGATGGGAGTGCCAGACACTGAAAAGAAGAGAAAAAGCAGGTTTGGGGTGGGTGTCGATGTGCTCAGATGATGAGGGTGGAGTTCAGGGGGCCCCAGAGAGGTCTCGGGGCAGGTGCATTGGGAGGCCCCTGAGTGAGGGAGAATAAGGGGGCGTGTGGCTATGGGGGAGAAGGGAGGAGCTGACAGTAGGGCTGGGTAGAGAGATCTTGGGCTCCTGCCTTACCAGTATCATGACCAGGGCCCAATTCTGGCTCCTTTGTGGTTGCCATCCTGGGGACACATGGAGGGAACCAATATTAGGCTAGAGACATGCAGGTGGGTGGAGAGAGACTCAGAGAAGCTAGAAATCCCACCAGGCCTCTGAAAGCCACATGGTCTCTCCTTCAGAGTGAGCTAGGATGATGAGGCCTGAACTATCCCAAGCTCTTCTTCTGTAATCCCCATCCGCAATCCTTCAGTTTCCCTAGCCACCACCTTATGCCAATGAGCACTGTTCCCCAAACAGCACCACTTACAGAGATCACCTAAATGGTGCACCTCCATCCACCTGTCTTAGGATTTCCTTAATATTTCTCTGTACATGGACTCATTTGTATACATTTATTTATTTATTTAGATGGAGTTTTGCTCTTGTCCAGGCTGGAGTGCAATGGCATGATCTCAGCTCACTGCAACCTCAGGGAAGACAGTGGGAACCAGCTTGTGAAGGGCCTTGAGAACCATGTAAAGGAGCCTAAACTTTGTCCCAAGGGCACTGGGGAGCCATGGAGGGCCTTTGAGCAGAGGAGTAACAGGATCAGAATTTTAGAAAGACCTTGCCTCGGGATGGATTGGAGGTGTCTGGAGGTTCAAGGTTTCCTGTCTCGGCCTCCCAAGTAGCTAGGATTACAGGTGTGCACCACCACACCCGGCTAATTTTGTATTGTTAGTAGAGATGGGGTTTCACCAAGTTGGTCAGGTTGGTCTTGAACTCCTGACCTCAAGGGATGCACCCGCCTTGTCCTCCCAAAGTGCTGGGATTACAGGTGTGAGCCACCGCGCCTGGTCTGAATACCCTTAATTTAAAAATTACACGGGAACCAAGTGAAGTGGTTCGTGCCTATACTCCCAGCACATTGGGAGGCCAAGGCAGGAGAAGGTCTTGAGGCCAGGCGTTTGAGACCGGTCTGACCCACAAAGTGACATCCCATCTCTACAAAAATTACAAAGATTAGGCAGGCGTGGTGGCGTGCACCCGGGGTCCCAGCTATTTGGGAGACTGGGGTGGGAGGATGGTTTGAATCAGGGAGGTCGAGGCTACAGTGAGCTATGTCGCACCACCGCACCCCACCCTGGGCGACAGAGCGAGACTTTGACTCTGAAAACAAAAGTACTCTTGATAACGCTACAGCAAGTTAGTTAATTTACCAAACAAATATTTACAAGCACCAACCATGTGCTGGGTGTCACTGAAGGCACTGGGGACACAGCTGGGCACAAGACTGACAGAGACCCCTGGCCTCCTGGAGCAGATACCCTAGCGGGGAGAGAGAGAGGGGAATAAGGTTGTAATACAGCATTGACGGCAGATTATCAGGGAGCGACATTCCTTCCCTATGAAGGAAAATGGAGAGCGGGGAGAGAGTGGAAGGTGTGTGTGTGCCGTTCTGAGTACAAAAAATAATAATCGGCCAGGCGCGGTGCTCACACCTGTAATCCCAGAACTTTGAGGGGCCGAGGCCGGCAGATTACCTGAGCTCAAGAGTTTGAGACCACCCAGAGCAACGTGGTGAAACCCCATCTCTACTAAAACACAAAAATTAGCTGGGCGTGGTGGTGCACGCCTGTAGTCCCAGCTACCTGGGAGGCTGAGGTGAAAGAATCACCTGAGCCTGGGGAGATCCAGGCTGCAATGAGCCATGATTGGGCCACTGCACTCCAGCCTTGGTGACAGAGCAAGACCCTGTCTAAAATTCTTTGTTTTTGATAAGTCAGTTTAAGAGGAGGTTTTCTGTCCCTTGCAATGCAGAATTCTGTTTGGTACAGGATAGAAAGATGCTTTTCACCCCAGGAGTTTCAAGATTTGATGAGATTGTGTATGAGCCAGATGATGTGACTTGTGGAAGAATCCATGGGGCTTCAGAAGACAGTGGGAGGAGACAGGGGAGGGACGCCTGGGGACCGTGTACCTGTGGCTCTGGCCCTTCCAGTTCCTTGTCACCAGAAGATAGGCAATGCAGCTGATGAGAAGGGCCCCAGCAGTAAGAGATCCAATGATGGTGGCCGCCAGGATCCCCGCATTGGTGGGCAGGTGTGTACTGGGCAGCTCTTTATTTCTCTCTAAGGGGTGAGAGAAAAAGAGAGAGGGCGACTGTGCGATGTCTCCTGAGGATTCCCCCACCCCTCACCGACTGCATCAGTGACTGCATGGAGCACTGATGTACAGTTTCCAATTTCCAGCCCAGAGCTTTCTTGGGCTTTTCAGATCTAAGTATCCAACCATCTGGGTGGCACATAAAATTCAACATGTCCCAGTGGGCCAGATGCGGTGCTCACACCTGCAATCCCAGCAATTTGGGAGGCTGAGGTGAGAGGATCACTTGAGCCCAGGAGTTTGAGACCAGCCTGGGCAACATAGTGAGACCCCATCTTTATTAAAAAAAATTTTTGGGCCGAGTGCAGTGGCTCACGCCTGTAATCCCAGCACTTTGGGAGGCCGAGGCAGGCAGATCATGAGGTCAGGAGTTCGAGACCAGCCTGGCCAAGATGGTGAAACCCGTCTCAACTAAAAGTACAAAAATTAGCCCAGCATGGTGGCACGCACCTGTAATCCCAGCCACAGGCAGGAGACTCGCTTGAACCTGTGAGGCGGAGGTGCAGTGAGCTGTGATCGAGCCACTGCACTCTAGCCTGGGTGACAAAGTGAGACTCCATCTCAAAA